TTTCTCAAAAAGAAATAGGACAAAATAGGAATATGTATATTAAGAAAGAAACTGGAATGGCTATTGCCAAAATACAAGAAAACTAGAGACCCTTGAAACTAGACTAGAAGCAAGAAAGGAGTTGACAAGAGTGAAGAGGGCTTCACTCTTGCCTCTATATATACTATCTAACTAGAAGCCACGTGGCGATGTTCTATAAGACCTCCAATATATGTTGACTTTCTAGGCCACATGCCTTTGCTTGCAAGGCAAGTTTTCTATAGATGGACCACGTAGTTAGCTTGTTCTTTAAGCTTCCAACATGCGTGGCACATGGCTAACTTGTTGACCAAGTTTCTAACCTAAAAGTCAACTATAGACTCCTATAAAGTCAAAGCAGCGTCTATGAAGCTTCTAAGAAGCTTCTCTAGAAGATATTACACAATTAACCTACTTTTACATACTTTTATCTATTCATATAGGTAATTATATGTATGTCCGTGACACAAGACCATAGTAGTTACAATTTTATTTCAAAAAATATATATTTGTATCTAGCATCTTGTCCAAATTAAAATATTCTTTAATAACTATCAAACGAATTGAGGTTGAAAAGAATCTATCAAGTAATTGTGGAGCTATATTCAATTCAATTTGGAATAGCATTAAAATATTTTTTGAATGTGGTATCCAATTACATATCAGTACTGTGTAGGACCTCTTTTGGCCTTAATAACTACTTCCAACCTCCTAGGCATACTTTCTATTAACTTTTGGTACAAAATTGCTTCAACAGTATTCCATTCTGTAGCTATTCTTTTCCATAATTCCCAAACACTCTTTGGTTTTATCTTCCAAGTATTGAACTTGCATTTGAGGTGCTCCCAAAGATGTTTAATGGGATTAAGATCAAGAGACTCAGCACACCAATCCATTAGTTTAATCCCATGATAATCAAATTACTTCTATGTTAGTTTTGAGTTATGCTTGAGGTCATTATCTAGCTGAAAAATCACCTCCTCTTTAGAAATGTCAGATTCTTTAATGCTAAGGAGCAATTGTTTTTTTCAAGAATTTCCAAAAATTACTTAGCATCCATCTTCTTCTCAATTTCTACCATTTGCTCAATCCTATTCTATCCCATATAACCTCATACCATTATATTACTACCTCCACACTTAAATATTTCTTAGATCTTCTTGCAAGGACTAACTCTTTTGTTTCCACACCTACTTTTTGCCATCTAACCTAAATCCATAGATTTTTCTCTCATCTGACCAAATAATCATCTTCCAATCCTCTATAGTCTATTTTTTGTACTTCAGAGTAAAATCCAAGCGTTGTTTTTGATGGCAAGTAGATAGTAGTTGCTTTATTTCTTTCTTCACCACAACTTTATATTCCATTTCTTGAAAACATTTCAAATATTTTGGATTAACACAGGATTATTGATAATAGTCTTAAGGTTTTTAGCAACTTCAACAGCATTTTCAACCTTCACAATATTGATTTGGAAAATAATTGCCCTTTCATCTACTATAGTAAGCTTCTTTAGTCTGTCTAATTTAAGGTTCTCTTTATTAATAGTGATCTTTTTTGCAAGCCTAGAGATAGTAGTTTTATTGCAACCAAGTTTAGAAGCAATTTGGCAACAAGATTTTTGAGAGTAAAGAAGAACAGAGGTGATGTTATCTTAGACAGAGTAGGAAATGGATCTCATAGTTGTTTGAAGAATTGTTAAGGACACAAATTTTGACAAAGAAATATGTTAAGATCAAAAACAAAGAATAAGATTGATAGCAAAAGTGATTCTAAAGACTTCTATTAATACTATAATGAAAATTACATAAATCTATAGTACTTTCTATGGAAGTTTTTAGAAGTCTAAAGAGGCTTCTATAAGCCTTTGGAACTTTCTAAAAGATTGTGGAAGATTCTACAAGTATCTAAAAGGTTTTAAAAATTTGCAAGAGATTCTAGATGGTCCTAAAATGTGGTAATTTGGAACATATCCGTGCTAGGAATTGTGATTAAAAAGAGTGCTTTTATAGCTGCTAATAAGTATTAATGAAGTCATTAGATGAGTAATAATATTGTCATAGTAAATTTGATGATGATAGAATGTTGTAATGTTAAAAAATTGATAGAATCCAAAAAATTATTTCAATACTACAAATTAGATTGGTCATAGCTCTGCAATCATCTAATGGATTCTTTCCAACTTGAGCTCATTCGGTAATTGTAAAGGAATACTTTATTTGCTATAAAAACCACGTGTCATTATTTAATATAATATTCAATTGTAGAACTATTGAAATATCTTTGAATATGATCAAGATTTTATATCCTAAAAATAATGAAGATAAAAATATAACCATAAAAATATAACCATGAATGTAATTTATCTTAAAGTTTTTTTAACTTAGCTATTTTAATTATTGTAATAAATACAAATTATATTTTTAAATTATAAGGAAGAAAAAAAAATGCTCCCATTGTTTTCCATATTTTATTTTTTTCATTTTTTTTCTTGATCAACATTCCTTTAAAAGTAGTTAATTTTTGACTTAGCAATCAAAAATTAAATTTTTATATCTTTTTTGTGGCCAATGGCACGGATTTCTACTATTATGTCTATATATATATATATATATATATATATACACATACATCTACATACCAAATGATATTCTTTTTTAACAATCCACCAACTTAAAAGTAAAAAATTTTAATTGCAAAGTCATTGATGTTGAATTTTTAATCCAGTTTCAAATTCTACTCAAAATATTAATCACACTCTGGTAAAACAAAAATTAAAAATTAAAAATATTAAGGATATATTAATATATATAGTGCTTGTAAAATGGTGGATGTAAGTTAATGAAATAATTAAAGGATTCGGTATTCAGAATGAGATGAATGAAGTATCAAAGGTGAAATTCATCACAACGGCGGCGCCGAAAGAGCTGCGAGATGCGCAACGAGGCGGTCTCCACCGACAAAATCGACGCCCTCGGAGATCGTAGATTATGTCGCCAATCGGTCTGTAAGAACACAGCGCGTGATTGCTGCGAGGACATTTTTGGGGCAGGCTTATTGATTCTGAGCTTATCGATGTGTTTGCCCAATTCCGTTCAGTTAGGGTTTTGAATTTCTTTAGCAGAGTTTTAATGCCCAACATGAACTTGTTACTAGTCGACATGGCTGTTGCAATCGTGACGTCGACCTCAGGAACAATGTCGTGCTCCAATTTGCAGACGAGTCGGAAGACGGTTGCAGAGGTTGGAGAATTAGGACTTTGGTATTCTGTTTCAAGGTGCTTGAGTTGTAGTGACAATTATGGAGAGGCAATTCTGGGTTTGTAGGGTGGTTCTGCGGTGACTCAGGATTGTTGAGTGAGAAGCATTGGTTTAATGTAGTTGTCCACCGTCGTCCAGTTGCTTTAGTGCAGCCGATACGAGAGGCATGTGGATTCAAGCGGGGTACTCCAAGGGAAAATTGTCGATGGGTTATGTCAACGTTTCGAGAAAGGACTTGTCCTTTAAAAAAGTCCTTTGCATGTGTGCAAATTGGGTTAATTTGACGGGATTGAACTTGAATAGCAATTACTATTCGCGCGAACTTTTCATCTGTTCCGCAAATTAGCAACTTATTGGCGAAGTGTGCCAAGCTGCAGTTGGTTACAAAGGCTAGGGTGATGCTAACCATTGTGACGGTGAGGTCAGCCGCTCAATTTGGCAGCCAGCATTTACTCGGTTGTCAGGTTTGAAATTTACGTACAAGTTATGGGCAAAGGTGTACGAAGGAGAACTGAACTGAGACATAAATTATTTTGAAAGTGGCGAAGCGGGTGCAGCAGCTGGAGACGTCGCCTTTAGGTTGACAACTGAGGCAGAAAATATTAGTCACGCTTTTCATTTCGTACCCCATGCAAGAGAAATTGCGCGTCTCAGCCAAACCTGTCGACATCTACTTCGAAATTAGTGCATTCCAGAAAATGGGGGAGTTCGAGCAGTTGAAAATTCTGTGATATTTTGAACACGCTGTTACCATTTGAGCAACCGGCAAACGCCGTTGTACTTTTTTGTTATCAGAACCTCGTTCATGTGATGCCTTTTGGGAGGATGTAGAATCTTCTTTTTCCTTGGTTGCAGTTTTCAAGGTACAGTGTGCTGCAGAATCATTCCTTCCAATCCGATTGCTTAGTGCTGATCACGATTTTGGTCAAACCTATTCTCTCACTGAACGTGAAATTTTTGTCGTCTTCTGTCGCAGTTGGGTGGTCTCGACATAGCAATGCATTTATTGGGGCATGCAAACTACGATACTTTACCCTCGTTTCTTTCACAAACCACACCCTTGCACGTTTCATACCTAAGATTCGGAGAAACTACCACGCTCGGTGACATAGAGCTCGAGATTGAGCTCTCTCCCATTGTTCTCGGAGGAGCGAGTATTTTTGGGAGAATAAGGCATGTCTAGGCAGTCATACAGGCCCATAAGGACAGGCAAAAATACACTCCCGGTGGGACTCGAACCCACAATCCCCTGATTAGAAGTCAGATGCCTTATCCATTAGGCCACGGGAGCTATGGAACCTAGTTGTTGATTAAGACATCTTACTCAAAATTTATCAATAATTCTACAAGCAACCGGATTGTATTTTTCGTGAACATTTCATTTGAGAAAATAATATTCCAGCTTTTCGTATTATTTTCTCAAAAGATTAGAATAAATAGACGCATACCATAATAGTACGGATCATAATTAAATATTTCAGCGTCAGAATCATTTTTAACCTCAAAACTTGCGAAGTAGCAAGTGTCACAACTAAGAATGAGGCATAACCAGCAAAACAAGTAGATCTTTCACCATTATATTGTGCAGATTGTCCACTACAATATTCTGAAACGGGGGGAATAGGATGGATTTTGAAATATTTTGAGAGTAGGAACAGATGATCGCGGTTCATTTAAATCTTAAAAAAAATGGCACGGTGAATAATAGTAAATGATAGGAGATACGCTAGATAATGGCAATGTCATATTATTACAAAGTGTGAGTGTTTACGGTACAACAGTGCAAGGCGGCACACATAAGGTACATATACCTCCGGCACAATGTCTATCACCAGAAAAAATACATTCTTTCCCTCCACCACGGCCAGCAGAAAATTGGCATTTAATACAACCTGGCTATAGTTGCTGTCCCACACCTTGGGTGCCCTCTTATTAGTCATACATACCCTCTACCCTTAAACTGAGTGGGGATGGTGATCCTGTATCAGTCGCAACAGCTTCTCTGGAGTCGATTGACACTAGTACTAACCTGAAAGCAACTGCATGACTGCGGTAGCCAGCACCATCATTTTGTTCGCAGGGCTCTGTTGTACACGACTGAGAGCTGCTCCTCCTCGTAATCTCACCCAAAATACAGTTCGCCAGACAGTAGAGCCCCTTCCAAAACTTTACCCTGCAACTATTGACCGCCATATTTTTTTTGTACATCCGTTATAAAGATACTAAATGGTTGATGACTGCACACATGATGCAATATCAAATGTATACCTCTTGTGTGTGCATCAAAACCAGAGCTATTTATAAAGACTGGTTATGGTCCCACCACATAATAAACCTTGCAGAGTGTATTTACTCCACTGAGCACATTCTTGACAAGGCTCAAAGGGATTGAAGTGTACAGAAAGTAGCCACCGAGCCCTCAGTGAGTCTCCCAATCGATGCTGACTCATCACTTTTTGATATTCGTGCGTGACAAAATCCGCTTACCATAAGGACTGTTACGAAGGGCTGGCAAATATGGCCGTATGGCATCCACCAAACCAGCATGCAAAGGTCCCTGCAATCACAACGTAAACAACACTTTGTGAGACGGAGAGACCCAAGTGCCACTTAATTCATTCAATGCATTACAGTAGACATATTTACGGTCACGTACTTGATTACTGCAAGAGAAACCTAGTCCATGTTCCGATAAACGAGAAACAATCGAGACAAGCTCCATTTCAAGACGTCAATACCAGAGTATCAGGATTGAAACGAAAACTGTCATGGCAACACACCTTGCACACAGACAGGGCGGACTGAATAACATAGTTGGCGTATTGATCCTGAAGCAACTGGCCGAGTCGAGAACTGGCTGTCAGCTCCCGGACCAGACGACCACGGTGTTCCTCCACACCCAATTTTAGGCACTTTTCAACCACGTTACTGGAAAACTTTTGCATGGCCAAAAAGGCATAGCTGCCTTCCAGCCTAAGCATTACCTCTGAGGTCGCCCATCCTTGTTTCAGGTCAAGGATGTACTGCACAACGTAGTTCCTAAAACATCAAACAAAGTTTAAGAAAATCAGTACTTGTAGCAGTACCGACATTTCGTAATACAATGTAAACCAGCCTTCCAAACACACTTAGGTCTGTGATTAAAAACTTAACATTGATTCTACAAAGAACCACCTAATCTATGTAGGTGAAATTGAAAGGAAATATTTGAATTACGAATTCATCGAAAACACTATGCACCAACATGAGACACTAAACCAGTAGTTTATGGAGCTACTCACACTGTTAAGCCACTTACCCGTAAGGATCTTGTGAAAGAGTGAGAGCATTTGCAGCAATAACTGCAACAAGGCGTTGTTTCTGAGGAGCTGAAGCAAAATCTACGCATCGCTGCATCACGCAGCACCCATGGCGGTGGGTCGCGATCTCCACGCAATGTGCAGCAGCCGCGTCAAAGATGAACTGTTACAAAAACCCATAAAAAATGAGTATTGCCTCTATTTTGCTGATTATGACAAACCCTCGAAAAAGATTCTTTGTCATTGATTTTTGTGATGGAAAGACAGTCTGGGAAACACCCGAGGCCAACGATTCAATTTCATTCTTAACGACGAAAATTACCACATAAATTTCATAATACCATCACAAACCTGGCTGTCTTCGTGACTGAGCTTTTGCAAGCATCTCTGCACCACATGATTTCCGTTTAAATCTTTGATCAACTCAACAACTCCTTCGGTTAAGGCTGTTATCACCATAGTCACCTGGTCGGGAGACTTCAATGTCTCAATCAGCTTCTGCACAGCTCGAGTTCTGAAAAAAAGGAGACAAAACTAGTCAGATAAATATCTTTCCTTCAGAGACGCTTATCCTTAATGGGACATAAAACAATCAATTGCATGAAAGCATGTCCAACGAAGAACACAGCAATAAAAGTGCACAGCGTACTCCTTTTAGCAATTCATATGCGGTCTAATCTGATCTGATAATACGCTGCTGAAAGGTGACGACTGTGATTACGATCCAACATAATTTAATAATTGAGAGCAACAAAACAAGATTATCTGCCACCAGTTCGACAATATACGAACTTAAATTCGCAAAATGTACTTTTCTAACTAGGTCTAAAGACCTAATTTTTGAATAAGACTTCATATGCTAGGAGAACGATCAACCTACCCATGCATGTTCAGGGATATCTTAACCAGCTCTCCATCCGTGGTCACCACACGCAGAATTTCCATCCGCTGTGATTCGTCACACACCTCTAGTAATTTTTGTACCAGATAATTCCCGAATGGATCTTTCATCAGCTCTGTGATGTGACCAATTATCTCATAAAATATTTTCTGGACATCTTCAGGTCCTCCCTCGTCAAACTTCTTCTGTAAAAACCTACAGCCGTGCTGATCTTTGGCAATCAAATAGATACGGCCCTCAACCTCATCGAGCTTGGTATACTTCGGTTGCTGCTGCTGCAAATGATGAGCAACCGACAGTCTTGAATCAAACTCTAAATTTTCTTGGATTGCCCGATGCGCCTGCGAATCTCCAATAAATGGAGAGGGTAGTTGGGCTGCGCCACCCAAAGCAATGTGTCCGTTGCTGTAACCATTTGCGTGCCCATTGGACAATCCATCTCCTTTCCGTCGCAATCCAGTGGACACAGAAACTACTGCAACCCCTCCATTGCTTGCACGAGCACTTCGTCTTTGGAGTATTTTCTCTGGATATGCAGGCAATCGTTCGTCCCGAGACACTGCCGCAAGCTGCCCACTTCGAGCACCCTCTTTCAGGGATGCAGAAGCTCCGTGACCTACTCTAGTACTACCTCCGGATGGAGCATGAAGAAATGGACACATTTCACCCCGGCTACAGTAACCCTGATTATAATACCTGCATATACTAGTGGCTGTAGTGGTTCGAGAACTTTCCGTTGGCACCAACCCCTGAACAGCCCAAAGACCTTCTAACATTTGCTGCTGACGCAGCTTCTGTAAAGCAACTTGATTATGAATAGAGCTCATTGTGGGGGCAATACCCCCCCTACCATACGGGCCGGTAGTCTGCTGGGCTTGCAGACTCGCCAAAAGAATCTGATTCTGGCGATCAACTATCTGTTGCTGATGCTGTTGGATGATCAAGCGCTGCTGTTGCTTCCTTTTCTCATCTTCCATTTGCGCTTGAGCTTGTGCATACCTAATAGCCGCCATTTGAGCCTGAAGGCGCTGGGCCTCATACAAGGAAGAAATATCCTTGTCGTACAAAATTTGTTGCTGCGATGAAGGTGAGTAGAAGTCCGTACCAGGTGTAGAAGCAGATTGACCACGTGCTGCAGCATGTACAGCTTCCAAGACTTCTGATTGCTGCTGTTGTTCATAGGAAGATGCAACAGCGGATCCATAAGCCTCTCCACCTCTAGGCGCTGAGTAGCTATTCAAACCTGGTGAACCCTGCCTCAACAGCTTCTCAACGGCTTGAGAGGAGACCTGCGAAAAGTCGCTTATTCCGTTGTACAATCCGTTACCAAGCGCCTCTACGGCAGAAGAGGTTCTAGGAAACAGATCAATAGGAGGAGGTGATCTAGAGGTAAAGGTCTCCAGTGAAGCTCCGGATCCTGCACCGTAACCCACCGTCCCTACACCACCGAAGGCATCCATGTTACCATACATACCATTGGACTCCACAGGGCCTTGGCTGTTCGAAATGTTCCCACCATTTGCACCATGACTCAAGGTCAGGCCATCTCCTGTCTCGTCGGAGGTCGTTTGCAATCCCCTACCGCTGCTACCATCGAAATTCAAGTTTCCAAATGCAGAGGTCATCTTCGGTTCACCAAACATCTGGTTTGAAGAAGAATTCGGGAAGTGGTGGGCAGCAGCGGTATGGTGATTAGGTGAAGGCTCCCGCTGTTGAAACATCTGCTGCTGCTGAACCTGCTGCTGCTTGTGCTGTGCTTCAAGCTGCCGGTGCTTACGATGTCTGGTGCGGGGACTGTCCAGTTGAAGTCCAGCAAGGCTGTAAGAGAGCTGGCTAGCCTTTGGAGAAAGAACAGGAAAGTCGTTGTATAGAGCTCGATTGTCCATCGGAGGAGGTAGTTTCTTAGCCCCGGAGTAGGACTTATAGAAATCTTCATACTGTTCGTCACATCGAATGTCAATGAAGGGCTTTACAGGGACCTCGTCTGGCTGCAACCCAAAATCACGTGCATCAACGTTCTGTCCGTACACGCGCTGCAGCTCTTCCAAATGAGGTGGTGCCGAGGTGGCCCGTGGGATCTCATTCGGCGTATCTGGCGACGTGGCTTGAGGAATTTCGTGCAGGAGCTGCTCGAACTCCTCATCATCTTGCTCCATAATTTCGAACCTTCAAAGGTCGTGAATTTTCTAAGGGACACTCAAAGTGGTCGGTACTCCCCTCCCGTGTTACTAACCATCATCGGATACAAGATCACCCCTCGTAACGCTCGCTCAATGCACCTGAACAGAAAACAGATGTCGCAGGATTGTCATTTCATTTCTTGGTAACTGACGGAAGGAACTTTAAACTCCAAACTGAGGGCTTCCTGTACTGGCAAGCAATTTCAAGCAGCAAAGGCAACATGCAGAAACCTGACAAAAACGACCCTAAAAGAGCAGAATCGGCCTCTCCTCCGCGGGAATCCCTAACGCGGAAAAGCCGATATAGTCAGGAAAAACATCAGAAAAGCCGTCGAATGTAACAATACAAACACATTCGCCTACTCCTGCTAATCATCCTGGAAGATCAAAAGTGAAAGAAGAATACGCGATACTATTTTCAGCTCAATCGCTGGGAACACGGACTCAAGAACTTCCAAAGCCGCACGAGCACCGTGCCACTCTGCTTAATCAAGCAAAACGACCCTCGCCATCGAACCGCCAAAAGGTATTTATAAATTTTGGTGGCCTTCCCAAAAAATAATTAGGAGGCGAAAGGAAACTAAAGAACTCAGAGCACACAAGAGCCACTATCAATCGTGGTAGATTGAGGTGAGACTCCAATCTAGAACATCAATCGCACCACGATAGAAACAACAGCAATGATATTCAGTCAAACCCTGCAAAACCATCAAATGTCATCACCAACAGATCTCCTTTCTTGCCTTCCCCACCGTCAAATGATCGGCCGCCCCAGGCTGACCGATCAACCAATACAACCAAAACCTAGCCCTTCCCCCTCATTCCACCCACACCTCGATGAACCCACGAGTTCTCTATACCGAAAGAGGCGACCGCCTCCTCACCCAACAATCACCACTCACTAGCAATCAACCCCAACCACCATCATCAACACCCCAAATCAAAAAACGACCTCACACACCCGACATCAAAAATGACAAAAAGCACAGGAGCAGTTCCTACGTTTGACCTCCTCGCCACACTCACCTCCAAAGCACACTCCGCTCATCAATCCGCCCCCGATCTCGCACCACCTCCTCAGCCGCACCCCAAGTTGTGTACAAAACAGAGCCCACCGCAGCGACCACGGGCGATTAACATACCCGATGAACCACCCCACACTACGAAACAATCAACGCCCCCCCCACAGATCATAGACGCGATAGAAGAGAAACGAAAGTGCTGGCATCCAAACTACAGCCGAGACCGCACCATCGCACTGCAAAGGGACCAGGACAAGTGAGAGATGTCTGTCTGCTTCAGCGTTGAAGAGAGCCTGGAGATGGAGGCTAGGGAAGCGACCAGAAGGCGAAGCCAAGGCGGCGGGGCGTGAAGCAGGGGCGGGCTCATCAGGGGGAGGGAAACGGGCGAAGGAAAACGATGTGGGGCAACGCGGCGGGGAAGCAAGGATGCCAACCCCGCTCGGTATGGGGACGACGACGACGACGATGGACGAGAACGAAGTCAGTCTCGCACTGCGAATGAGGAAAGGAAGAAAGAATGAAGAAGAATGAAGATGAAGTAGAAGAATCCATAGCTATGCCGGTGCTTCTACACCGGGACGGGCCGACGCGGCACACAGCGTCCGTCAGTCAGTCACCAGGCGGCGCCCTACAACATTCCTACAACCCAACGCAACGTCACCACCCACTGCACCAGCACCAGCACCAGCAGCAAACCGAGCTGCAATCGGCGCCGCTGCTGCCGCATAGTTGCGGCGAGGCACCCGCGCCGTGATTAACGCGGCAAGGGGAGACTGCTGCCACAACAACGTCCTTGAACGTCGGAAGGGACCAAGTGGTGGTACGTGTTGGCCATGACGATTGTTTCCCTCACTGGGTCATGACATGCCCCACCCCCCACCCGCATGGTCTAATTACATTACCATTGCAGCAGCATGGAAGGAAAATGGAAGCGGCGAAATCCCAACACTCGGGGCGCCGGAATTGGGAAGAGGAGGATCCCCCTCCCGTCCCTCCCTCCCTCTCGCACCTACCCTGTCTCTCACCCGCCCTCCCTCTCGTCGCCACGGCGAACCCTCAACACAACACCACAACATGAGGGGGAGCTGGATCTATGCCCCACCGCCCCACACGTGGGTACTCACTCTCCTCCAGGCAGGGCGACTGATTGTTTCACCTTTCTTTGCTTTGTTGTGCATTGCTTTTCTTTCCCTTGTGCGCTTGTGCTGCGTTTCAAAATGTGACTTCCTGCATTTCTTCCTTCCATTCCTTCTTTCTACTCCCGAACATGGCAAGTGAGTGATTCATCATCATCCATGTCCCCACTCCTCTTCCTTTTCTTACTGCCTGCTACTGCCGAGACGCTCTTTTCGTCGTGTACTTCCCATCCCTCTCTCCCCTTTCCTTTCTTTCCTATCCTTCCCTTCACTGCCGCTACTGCGGCGGTTCCTGCACGCACGCTGTCGCAGCCAGTAGCAGCAACAGTAACACACACATACCAATACCCAATACCTGCGTGGCAACTTCCTACTTCCCTTTCTTTCTTTCTTTTTTTGACCATTTCTCTATGGTTTTTTATTTCTTTCTTTCTTTCTTCTTCTTCTTCTTCTTCTTCTTCTTTTCTGACTGACTGACTGACTGACCGTCCGATTCTGCCACCGATGGGTGGGTGAGATTAGGTTAAGCTGGGGTAGTATTTCTGCAGTCCCAAGGGTAAGTTATGAGGTGCCGCAGTGGCAGTTCCACGGGGAGGCGGGTCGGCATTTTAGGGTTTGGGGTCGCCTTAAATGTCGCGAGGATGCTTCGTTCGGCACGAGGAGTGAGTAATGCTGATGATGATAGATGATTGCGCTGCCTCCTGACATATTCGTCTCCTTTTTTTTTTTCCTTCCTTCCTTCCCCCACCCCTTTTTTCTTTTTCTTTTTCCTCTTTTGTGTTTTTCTGTTGTTTGTTTGTTTGTTCTTTTTCTTTTTTGTGCGTTTTCTTTTACATTTCCCACAGAAAGTCTTCGTTTCCTCTCTGCCTCTCTCTGCCTCTCTCTGCCTCTGCGTCAGCCTGTGTGTTCCCACTTTTTTCGTAAGCCTCTCCCGTTGCCGTTTTTCTTTTTAGCTTTTCTCTATTGGCTGCTATTTTCTAGCTTAGCTGCTCAATGAGTCCTCTTGGCCCCTACCTCTTCCTAAAAGCCACCTCCTCCTCCTCCTCCATCGCCATTCCCAAGCAGGATGATGAAGATTGTACAGTGGGGTACAGAAATAATTCGAATTTTTTTTCAAAGTGAATCAGTGTTAGAAATCACTGAACTTCAAAAAGCTCCAGCAGTGTCAAAAATGAACGCATTTTTGAGCCGTAAAATGCATTGTGAAGATAGTAGAATCTAGTTTCATGATGTAACAAGTTTGCATTATAAAGTTGTGAAAATATACATCAAGAGAGCTTTTTGTTACATACTATCTACCATCTCGTACTACCACCCCCAACTGCAATCACCACTTGCATCCTACAAGGCATAGTGGAAATCAATGTACAAAGCCACTCTATAGATATGGTATCCCATACGGATTGAATTTTTTCTATCATTTCTAGCTTACTATTAGGTCTACTATGATGTTTGAGCAAATCTTTTACAACCATCCAAACGTTCTCTATTGGATTCAAGTCCGGTGAATTGGCAGGCCAAAACAACTTTTCTATACCATGAACACGTCTCCATTGCAATGGCAATAAGCTACGGTGGACTGGAGCGCCATCCTCCATCAATACCAATTGCTCAGGGTCATCATATAAGAAATAAAAGCCACTTAATACTCCTTCTTAAACAATAGTGACAAAATCCCTTCCTGATCTCTTATCTAAAGGAATGATGACCAAAGGAGACTTATCAAAGCCAATAAAGGCACTCCAAACCATCACTGAACTACGCCCAGACTTAAAACTTGGTGCTATACAATCCCAATTATATTTTTCGTATGCCTTCCGCCACACTCTAATTTGCCGTGGATTTTTGCCAGTTTCGAATGACGACTCATCCGTCCAAATAATATTAAACCAATCTTCAAACGTCCAATTCTCATAAGCACGTGCAAAGCAAGCCTCTCTGCTTTATGTTTGACATTCAAATAGGGCTTTTTAGGTGCTATACAATTTCTAAAACCAAGCTCACGGAGATAGAATCGAACAGTAGTTCGGGAAACACTCACCAAGTTTGCAAGTTCTACCAGAGTATGCCTTCTATTTGAACTGACAGCATGACATAACACCCGAAAATCTCGCTCAGACAACTTCCTGGGTCTGCCACATTATGATTTCAACGACTCCACACTTCCATGGACCCCCCAATGACTCAAGATAGTTGAAATAGTGGAACAGGGAGCACTGAAGACTTCTGCAAAGTCCTTACACTTCATCCCAGCCTTCCTCATCCCCACAATCTAATTCTTCTGCACAGGGGACAATGTTCTGTACTTCATGGTGCTTGCTGTAAGCCTTCAAATAGCACAAACCAACTTCTAGTTTGACGGAGAGGAGTCACTGAAGCTAATGATGTCCAAAACCAAAAAAGAACACTTCTAGAATATGTATGTGCTTCACAATCTCAATCTGTGGCAGTGCAATGTGCTTCACATCTTCAGATGGATTATATATGTCACCCCATCTAAGCATTCTATGCTATCACTCCATTTTGCTGGCTGCATGCATGCCTAATTGCAACTGTGATTTTTTAGCTCACTTAACCACTTCCACATTAATCATCACATTTGCAATCTGCTTTTGAAGACACATGGCTAATTACATGCAATTAGACACCTCTTGCACTCCAAAAATAGATGGCCAAGTGTCGGGGAAAAATTCCTTCCAACATGATTACAACATTCAATTGAACAACAAGATTTTTTTAGCAAAAGTGGTCCTCTAGAAAAAAATTTGAATTATTTCTATACCCCTTTGTACATGCATGATTATTCATGCTTAGACAAGGGTTAGCAACCCCCCCTGCAATACTCACGCTTGTTTGCTTTGATTGATTTTACATTCTGTTTACATAGGGTTGCTTTTACTTCACATGGTTGCTAACTTTGTTTTAATTGTTAGAGGGGTTTGAATTGTGGGTACTTTTGAATAACTATTGTATAAATAGTGTATTACAAAAAAATGAAAAAATAAATAAAAAATATCAACAACAAAAAATACACACACACATATACTTTATATATAATTGTCATTGTAAACTTGATATTATGTCAAGGACAAAGACTCGATGAGGGAAAATATACACAAAAAGGCTATCTCGATATAATAAATCAAAATATAAACAAGTATGTATATTAAAAGGAAACTGGAATGGCTATTGCCACAAGACAAGAAATTAAAGACTCTTGAACCTGGACTAGGAGCAAGAAAGGAGTTGACAAGAGTGAAGAAGGCTTCACTCTTACCTCTATATATACTATCTAACTAGGGGCTACGTGGCGACGTTCTATAGGACCTCCAATATGTGTTGACTTTGTAGGACACATGCCTTGACTTATAAGGCAAGTTTTTCTACGTGTGGGCCACATAGTTAGCTTGATCTTCAAGCTAACAACATGTGTGGCACATGGCCAACTTGTTGACCACGTTTCTAATCCAAAAAGTCAATTAAAGACATCTATGAAGTCAAAGCAGCGTCTATGAAGTTTCTAGGAAGCTTCTATATTAAATATTATAGAATTAACTTACTTTTAACTACTTTTACTTACTTCTACCTATTCTTATATGTAATTATTAGCTTACATGATTATGGCCATGACATTACCCCCCCTTCTAGAGACGAGTTCCACGAGGAGCGGTCATCATATGTTGAGGAAATCTATGATGCGACGAATTGTATTCGCCACATACTCTGATCTCTGTTCTCTTCAAAGATGATTGATAGGGCCTCTCAACCATCGGTAGTGTCCCATACTAGGGCGGAAAGACCACCCAGTTATTTGATCATTGTTGAGGCCTTCGTAACTTCCTTCGAGTAGAATATTTGGAACACCATCAGGAGTTGTTCCTACCTCTAGAAAAATCACCAAACATCAAGAGTCCCTTCCCAAATTGTGATACCAGACGCGTTGTATCTCACCATCTATTCGAGTAAGAACATGTCGTTCTTGAAGATCTTCATCTCGATTGCGTCGTCTTGAAGGTTGTGACAATCGTAATGTCTCGTTTGGCAAGTCAGCAAACGAAGGTTCTTGAGTTGAATCTGCTGGTTGTTGGCTCTCCATCTAATTAGCGTCACAAATGCAAAGAAGTTACAAACAAGGATAGGAAATTGAATGTTATCTTGCCTCAATCTTGTCTCTTTTATAAGAGAGATTTTCATCTTGGTTTTGATGGATGTCATTGATGAAAAACTTTGACTTTAGCTGATGCATATGCTAGATTCCTGGATGGCTCCCATGTGCGTTCACTAATATCATATCCGCGCCAATGAACAAGATATTCCAGCTTATTTTGGCGCCGCCTTGAGTCTAGTATCTCGTCCACCTCAAATTCTTCATTATTAT